ACACAGTGGACGTATAAACATTTTTCAAAACTGTAGTTAACAAGCTGCTAGTCCATATAGCAAGTCACTGAGTCCTTTTCTTTCCAAAGGAACAGCAGAAATTCTGCCAGGATAGAAGGCAGATTTACCTGCACGTCCCTCCATTTACCGTCACATCCCCGCTTGACCTTTCCTTGTTCCTTTGGTGTTTAGTGACCACGAGGTTTGTTGTTGTTGTTGCAGGAAACTGGATCCCTAACATCATCTTGGACATCCAGGCAAAGGGCAGTCACTGCGATTCGTCGTGGGAGGATTCACTAAATGAGGTATGCCCCCTTCACTGCACCCTTCCATAGCACGGAGCACGCTGGCCTTTCAAGCAATATTTAAGTCTCAATAGCTCATGCAGTCACGCCGGGTAGTTCACAGCGATTAAAAGTGCTGGAATTAAGGTTGCTGTTGATGAGGCAGAAATAAGAGCCAGTGGCAAAGCCAAGTACTGAACCTCACCATTCCTCAAACCTCAAAATACTTTTAAATCCCCATTGTAATGTGCTGAGAGCTTGGAATAAAAGGTTAAGTTGTGCAGCACATTATTCTAGCAAAAAGTCTTGCACCAAAGTCTTGCACCATACAGTTAAGAGCTTAAAGCTGTTACACTGATTTTTCATTTATTTCCATCTTCCTCATGAACAAAACAGACATGATGGGTTTGATCTTTATGTTTTGGGCTGCTTGGTCTGTACTTCGGATTCAGTGGCTCATGTTTTCTGCAAAAGCATATGCTAAAATAACTGGCAGGTGTGGCAGATTTTTTCCCTAAATTAAAACTTTAGTATAAGGCCTTGTTTTGCTTAAAGGCAAGGCAGTGCTTATCATAAATATGGGAAAGGAAGATTAGAACAGCTGTACCTGAAGGAGTGGTATTGTTTTATAATAAAATGTTTTTGTTGTTTTAGATTGCAAGACACCTTGCTTTTCTGAACAAAGAACTTGATAAAGAATAAGGTGCTATCTGCAACATGACATTACATCAAAGCCTGCAACTGGCCCATGGACACACTGACCACTCGAAAAACTTCACATCAGATTTGTGTTTATATAGAGAGTAGAAACCCCTTTTATCCCTCTTGGGTCCCTGTTTTGTGGACATAAGCAGACAAGAAATTCAAAGACAAAGTTGTGTGTGGCTTATAAACATAGAAAATGAGCGTTAAATTTCTGCTGCCAGTTAGTACAGAAGTAGCCTCCTGCGTCACCCAGTTAGTTCAGGCCAGTTCTGCTGACCACAGCGAGGAGCGCAGCTCAGGACAGGCAGAGCTGCCTCGGTGCAAAACCCTTGGTGCTGAAAGCTTCAGTTGTGAAGAGCTGAACTCTGTACAGGCAGCAGCCCCATCTGAGATCTCCAGTCCAGGACAGAACTTTACACAAGGCAGGAAAAGTGATTTCAGAGCCCGGTGACCTCCAAGCAAGGCCATCTTGCCATGATGTTTATCAAAATAGATGCCTTGTGCACACCTGGCACTGGTACAAACTGCACTAGGGGGCCAAAATGTTCTCGGACCAAAACCACTTGCACCAACTCAACCCCCTGTCCTTCCTTTGTGTCACAGCAGCTGCTACTGTAGATGCACCAAATGCAAATCAAAACACACAAAAATTGGGATATTCAGTTGTTCAGAGTTGTTAGAGTTGCTAACTCTGCCTGCAACTGCTGGATACACACTTCACCTCCATCCTTCTTTGGGTAGAAAAAGAAAATATGGGAATGCAAACTATTCTAACTCAGCCTTGGAGGGGAGGAAATATCCATGGAAAAATCAGTTGTAAGAGCAGAATTGGATATCCTTAGCCTGTTCTTGTTCTTCTCCATGATAACCTGGAGGATATTCCAAGGTGCTAGAACTGATAAAAGAGTTAAACCATAAAGACTTCTACATATTGGTCCACATACCTATTTCAACAAATCCAGGATCACCCCTTTGTGAAAATCATGGGAAAGTTACATAACTAAAGAGAAATCCAAAAAAGAAAACACACACAAAAAAAAAACCTACCAGGGACTGTAAGGGGCAACAGCCAGAAAGCAACTCTTCTCTTATCCTCACACAAAACCACATGCTTAACCGGACTGCTCCAGTAGGACTGGCCTCCTTTCCTTCTCCACAGTCTCTGTGGGAGGCTCTAGACGAATCTTTGTTCATGCTGTACCTTTTCCTCACCAGCACAGATGCAAGACAGTCAGGAATGAAATTTGTTTTCTAAGCTGTTTATTTTACACACAAAGGAAGTTTGAAAAGCCAGTGAAAATTCTAACATTCCCCGAAACCAACATTTTCTGAATTAATGAGGGCTTGATTATTCTAGTTCTGCACTTAGCAGTTCATGTAGAGTAAATTGAAGGCAGGGGAATAACATGCTTTCTCTGCCACAAAACAATTTTCTTGAAAAGCTTCCATAGCATGAACTGGCTTTCCTGTTTTGTATTGAAGGACTAGGCCTTCTCCCACGTCAGTTTTAACTATTTGGGTATTGACAACTTTACCAGTATTGCCAAAATTAGTACTTAGCCTTACGAGAGCTTCCGAGGGGAGGTTGGGAACTACAGCTTTCAAGTCTACTGTTGATTCCTGTCCAAAATTGAGAACCATCATGAAGACCCTGTCCAACCCGTCCAGCTCCCGCACGTACACAAAGACGTCACTGTCGTTCCAGATGTGGCACATCCAGCCCCGCTGAAGGGGCAGCTCCGTGTTGCGGAGCGAAGAGAGCGCTCGGTACAAATTCAGGCTCGAGTTGGACTGAGTCTTCTGAGTCTGCAACAAAATCATCACACCGTTAACAGAGCCACTTCTTTCCACAGAATAAAACCATGTCCACACAGGCCCTTCAGAACACAGCTGCTGGAAATCAATTTTGACAACGGCATCTCTGCAACTTCATCTGCTAATTCCTCTGCCTTGGGAGCTGGGCAGTGTCAGGGGCAGGACAGAACTTCACTGACGACTGCTGCTTCCCCCCAGGGTGTCCCCGACAGTACCAGGTATTTGGCCAAAAGCCACAGCTGGACCTTTCTCTGAGTCAGATCTACTGCAGTCACTGGGTTTATCTCAAATGTTTGTCTCCAGGTCTGGCCAGCACTCCAGATAAGTGTGTTTAATACACTACTCCACTGCCTTCAACATTGTATTACCATTTTCTTATGTTAGACATGGTCTATGTTCATTTCTTGTTGCAAGGACAGTGCTTTCTATACTATTATAAATGAAAAAAAAAGATCACATTTCAATATAATATTAAAATCATGAAAAGGTTGTTAAAGAACCAAATTGCATCTACATTTTCTACATCATTGAAGTTGTTTTGGTTAAATGAATACAGATGAAGTAGACTCCTTGCCACAAGGATTTCCTTTTCTAATAAAATTTGCTAGGATTCAGTTCCTTTTTTTGTCCTCCCTTGAGTTTGTTTATATTAGCTACACTGCCATTCCCTCTAGGTAAAAGAAAGCTCCATTTACAGATAGATCGATCCACTTATTAAAATATTTTTAGCCCTCTGGTACATCACAAATAAATACCTACCTCAACATTTACACTTTCATAGTCAGGGTTAACAGGTAACCAGCTACTGTTGCCTTCAGTAAAGCCAGCATTAACTGTGTCATCCCACTGCATGGGGGATTTCTCTGGAAAGGTCTCCTAGAAAAATAAAAAAAAGTGATGTTAGAACCATTACCAAAAAGTAACTTAATTTGATGATATTGAAAGCTCATCCATTAAACTCAAATCTTCTTCCACACCGTCAGCACCCTCAGTTTTCATTCTGTTTGTTTAAATTGAGATCTACGAAGGCGGATGTAACCCTGCTCCAAATCTAGAGAAATGGGGAGCAAACAAGAGTAATGTCAGTCACTGGCAGTGGGGGGAAACAAATGGGCAGTTATAGGTACAGCAGCAGTAGCCAAAGGAGTCGAGTAGCGCCCGAGGCTGCCAGCAGCTACGATGCTCCAACAGACACCGGCACGGGCAGCTGGTGAAAACGGGGCAACGAGTCCTAGGGAGAGAGTGGCAACAATAACCACGACCAGTTCGGAAACGCTGCTCCGTGTCCGTTGTTTTATAGTCACAACCCTTTCGCTTCGGCTTAAAGCTTGTATTTACAAGAGGTAGAATTTGGACAGTGCTTTTTACATTGGAAAGATAAAGGAAGTGTTCACACCTGTGGGGAAACGCAGAAACTACTGAAAACCTGTTTGTAGCTGGTTAAGGAGTGTTCAGCGAAGACGACTGAAATTCTCACTTTGAAGAGTTCAGGAAAATTTTGAAAAAGTTTTCTCACTTTCAGAGAAGAGCTTGCCAAATGATCTGACACTTAAGAATTTAATGATAACAGAGGTTCTAAAATATTTTGCATATACTTTGATGGTTTGTTTTCTATAATTTTTTTTTTTTGTATAAGGGGCACTTCCAATAGAACCTGTCAGAACAGCAGCTCAACAAAAGAAGTTGTCACTTTGCTTTGTGACAATATAAATAATGGGTTTCTCCTTTTAATGTGTTCTGAAAAGCAGAAAAATAATAAATCCTAAAATTTCAACTCCAGTAATGCTCAACATCTTTACTTTTTTTTTTTTTTTAAGCTTCAAACACTAGGGCTACAAACTATGACCTGAGCATAGATGCAGATGCCACTTTGCATCTTTTCATCTTTCACCTATTAATCAGGGATTCCTCCTCTCCAGATGGAATAAAGAGCAGTTTTGCTTAGACAGAAAACTCTGAGCCACAGGGAAACCACTAAAGGAGAAAACCCCAGGAGCCAACCTCAGGGCAAGCCACTTTGTGAATCAGTCCTGTTCAGTCAGCAGCAATAAGAAAACTGAGATGTTTGGACCTAGGTGTTTTTCAGAGAAAGAGACAGTTTTCCTGGAGCAGAGGAGCACTTCATGGCAGCTGAATCGCATGATCCTGCACTTCTGCAAAAGCCTCTCTCCCCCACGGGCACCAAACTAGCTGATACTGGTGGCAGCATCATCGGAGGCTGCCTCCTTCCACAGCAGCAGCTTTCCAATAAAACTGAAAGTTATGCGGGTCAGGCCAGTGCAAAAGGCAAAGCCCCTTCATTTTCACCCCTTGGCTTGGAATGGACTTCTAAATTATTCTGCACTCAAATGTCCTGCTCTGTGCCATGACTAACCACCATTAAAGGAGGTGAGCCCCTGGCTCCCAGGCTCAGCTACCTAAAACTTCTGTAGAAAGGGATCTAAAAAGTAAAAGAAATGTCCTTTAAAATGTGTAGAGAGATTGCATTTAGTCAGTTAAACAAAAGGTACTATTTTTCTGAAAGTTCTCTCCCTCAGAACTGAATAATCACAGGGACAGAGCTCATGAGCTCTTTACTTACCTCTTCTGATGCAATATTTTCCATTCCTATTTCTTCACCGTAGTAAGTTATAGATGTGCCAGGAAGGGTTAAGAGCAGCATGTTGATAACATTGACATACTCCTTTCCAATCCGAGATGAAATCCGAGCGCTGTCAGGGTTTCCAACCTGAAGACAACGTGCAGTTAAACACATTACAAGAGCCAAGGTAAACGTGAAACTAGTTAAAGATTAAAAACAACAACAAAAAAAAAGGGGGCTTCAAACATCATTTATATGGACCAGAGTAAAGAGATAACAAATCCATTTAAACTTCCATGTCTTCACACTGCCATATGAAAGAGAATTGCAGCCCCTCTTCCCTTGTAAAATAATTTGTCCAAAACTGTCCAAAATAATTTTGGGTGCAGAAGCCCTGTCAGCAGCGTAACGGGCAGAAACAAGGGAGGTTAGAGCTCAGCTATGGGCACAGATTGCTCCTGAAGCCACAGAAATCTCGTGGCCATGGGGAAGTTTCTATCATCTCTGCTACGAACAGACCCTTCCTAGAGGCCTGGTCTTACCGCCCAGTTTGGCCATTTTCCTTCAGGCATGTTTTTCATCCACAAGTTGACAGCTTCAA